CTCTTTCGCAGTCTCTTCAGTGGGGATCTCCCGTAGCTTAAGCAACTTCCTGAGTTGTCTATTCTTTCGAAACTACTCAACACAGATTCACATGTACGTAAGCTTTCTCTTGTCTGACCAGGCCACAATTGTTGAGTTTTCTAAGCAAGATAATGTATTTGACTCTGTGGCCGTGGGTGAGGTGGAGGGGTTGGCAGTGGTACATCGGCATCATCCACAACAAAGTCATGTGCCTTTCGTCTGGCTGCTCCACTGTGGCCAATTTGAGATGGTTTAGTCTGCAAGGACCGATATCCTATTCAGCGTAGCGCACCGCATCCAAACAGTGCATAGGTCTGATCACTACGCCGAGTTCCACATCGTAGGAAAGTGTTCTAAAATGACATTCATTTGACTTGAGTAATATTTTGATGACTTATAAGTAGCAGAGATAAACACAAATTGAACGTCACTCACTATTTGTCACAACTGTCGTATTAACGGTGACAATGTGACGAACACACGATTTCAGGTGGAGGTTGGTGAATGTAGTGACCAGCATTCATCCAAATGCTATTACAGTTGTCCTTCCATTCAGACAGGATGGTTGGTTTAGTTCAAGTGGACTGATTGATGTGTTGCGAGTAGTAAGATACAACGAAAGCTGTGCCTCATGCGCTGGGAGTCGAACCCGGGCTACCAAGGTGAAAGCCAGGAATCCTAATCGCTAGACCACGTGGGGCGACATATTCACAACGATAACCACTAACTATATTCATCATCAATCTTATTTCCTCATCAATAGATACCAGGAGTCAAGAGGCAAGCAGAACTAAACAAATCAACGCACGCTACCATGTGTGCATCACACATGCGCGATCACTAATGGACACTAACGCCTAGGAGTGTCAACACGGCTGTCAAACATGCTGCTTTAAACTCGGCCAAACTCTCTCTTCTTGTATCAAAACGACCTCTCAATACTGGTCCCGTGAGAACGTCAGTAGCTCATCACTGTACATCACATTTTGCACATTTCGATGCATCTCAGTCTGTGGGTTTATGTAACAAAGTTCGCTGAACATTATGAAGTCAATCGTCAATACTGCAACATGAGTTTTAAAAAAACGTCCAGATGACAAAAAGCGACCTCCATCCGAACATACTTACGTCATCGGCCAAATTACTTGCAAGAGAGCAGTGACGGTATTGAAAGGGAAGTTCAGACGATTGCGATCATGTCGCTACGTGGCAAGTGGTCTGATCGGTAGTAGTTTTTCAATAAGATCGATCCCGTTTTACGGATCAGCTTTACGCCTGCCTCTTCAACGAAACTGAAGACCACAATCATAAGATGCGATTGCATGGGCGTGGAATTACCCAACAAAGAAAACTCATTCATCAAGTCCTAGCTTCCAAAATACTTATGTCCCGGCTGATTTTCCGAATACCGTAATGTACTAACAAACTGTAAGCGTCAAAAAAGGAACGTATTCTGTCCGGATGAGATTGATCGGTCGAGTATGCACTCGGGGTAAAAATGTCGTGGTGTCATGATTCAAACTCGCAAATGAATCAAACTAATCCCAAACACAATTCCTCACATACTAATCTGTCTTCTGGCCGTCTGAACGCATCCGTACTTGGTTTGCATCTAATCTCAGTATGTAAACATACTAAAAGAGGTTATTAAAGCAATGTTTATGGTGGATCATAATCATTTTTTCAACTAAAAAGATTTCATTCATACTATGGTCAGATGTGCAACGCTAATCGTTACGGTTCATGACGTTACTGTTAACACCGAAAAGACAATGTTTTCAGCTATCTTCTTAAATGCAATATTATGGTGAAACTGAGTATTCGCATTATACTACTCGTGAGTAGGCATACGAAGTAGCCATTAGAACATGAGGATGATTGGTGAAACAACGAAACGATTAGTGATGTTAATGGAGAATGTAGTTTACACAGTACTTAACCTTCCAAATAAGCATTTCTTCTAGTTGTTGCATTGAATTAGCTATTATAGATTTCAGCCTTCTCAACAGATGGTCTTTAACGTCGGCGTCTTTCTGATCACTGCTCATGCAACAGTGGGTATTTCGAAAGGGTAGATCTGTTCTGCTGGCTCAAATTACCTGAACAACAAACTCTAGGTTAACTGGAAGGAGCGAGTGACATCTTCATCTTCACAATGAAAGTTTTAATCAGGGGAAATTCGGTGTTATAGGTACTAATTTATTGCTACGTGATGTACGCTGATGGGCATTATATACCATGATTTTCACAAAATGTTGAGCTGACGCAAGTACTCAAATGTGTACAGTAACCTGATGTGTCATTTAGTGGAACAGCAACACAGCTAGTGTTTTTTGATGCCACTGAGACCCATACAAACTCCGCTGCCTATCAGCACGAACTAGACACGCATATGAAGTGTCTACACGCACTCGTTTGAATGAAATGAATGCGATTTGCGTATGATGTTAACATCTCACTAGCCCCGGATTGCATGACCTGTGATGACTATCGGCGATTCACCCAGTCAGTACTTTTTATTTGGAACTATGTGTGAATTTCACTGGTTTAGTCGACTCAGCACTATACCAATGCACTTTGCGAACTGAACTTCATGCACCAAACAAATAGCGACAGACACCAAGGAACCATTGTAAATGATCGAGATCAGGAGCTGCACACTTTTCCCTCCAGTGCGCCTCGCCTGAACACTTATGCCCCCATGGCTATATATATATATATATATATATATATATATATATATCATAATTTGCGTGTTTGGCCTCAACACACAAACCATGGTGATCAACACTACACAATGCTAAACAGCATATATTCGATGATTAAAAAGAAATTCAGATCACTCAAGCTACTTAGAAATACTGAGTAATAAGGGTCTTAATCACTAAAATACTGACCTCACGTCCTCTTTCGTAGATTCAGCAGAATCGACTACGTTCATGAACTCGTCAAAATAAATAACTTGTAGAATTTACTGTCTACGAGAGCAGCTGCCACATTGTGTTCGCTAGTTAGCGTGAAAGCATTATTCGATATTAGCTTGACGCGAGAATATCAATCCGTGCAACACCTAAGTCGTCTAGGCAGTGGCTTTCTACGACGACTCACTACGGTTCGACAATATCAAACCGGTAATGCCGTGCTCAACAAAGTTCAACTTTCTATGTAGCAGAGAAATCCTTATTTTCATCGTTTTTCTGTTTGTAAAATATTGCAAACATATGGATGAAAAAAATCCGGTTGACGTCAAAAGGCATAAGACAGACAATCTGAACGGCTATTTTCGGTGACAAAATAATGGTTTTCATTTCGTGTTTATCAGGCAAAGTTCACGCATCTCATGCTCAGTTTGCGTGAGTTAATTGTCACAAACGTTTTTGTTCAAAAGCATAAGCCTGACTTCCTACATTACTGGACAAAAGATGGGCTCAGCCGATATCAATCAGACATGACAAGCCTATGGCTTCTGTCCACCAGTCGCTAAGCTTATACGCATGTACACTCGTTACACCGTATAGGCGAATGCAATGCAGTCAGAGACCATATTTCGTGCGCCAGTTCTGAGACCATACTTAAACGATGGTCCATCAGTATGTAAAACTGTAACACGGTTTATGAAGGTTAACGACAATCGACACTGATAATAGGCGGTTTGTAATGAGAGCGAGACAAAAGTGATTAGTTTATTGACTAGTTGGAGTCGGAGGAAAATGTAGATCACATGGCTGACGCAGCACGACTGTGATAGATCAGTTGGTCCCCTACGTAAAATAGCTGCACCTCTTGCAGTGCTGCTAAGGCGTTTAATTCGGGAACATTAATCGACGTGACATGAGCGTGCTGGGTATAATGAGAAACACCTGTGAAGCCCCAGAATAATTACACCACAATTCTGCGTTTTACGTTGTCTCCAGATGTTGATGAAGCTCGGAAAAAATTGCCCAAGGTTTTCCCGCCTGAAGTACCATTTTTTCTAGAACTCCCTATTTGATGATCAGAATGTGTGAATTTATACCGTTTTGCGTAGTAAAACCTGTGAGGAGTTAGTATTTCGAGTTCACATTCCTGAAACTTGTATCCTTGAACAACGTCTGTCTAACTGAAGTCAAAGATCATGTTGCATTCAACATTTTCAGAGTCCGTTTGGCAGTTGCTACACTGTAGTTCGCGAGAGGTACAAAACTACAGCAGTCTTATGTTTTGAATTGTGAACGCTCGATGCAGTCACACAGGTCGGCTACTTCAACGTGATGATAGGATATCCCCATAGAACCAGGAGTAACAACGTGTCTATACACTTTACAGAAATGTCAACAAAACGTGTTATGAGAAAAAAGACATATTTCATGAAGTGATTGCCCACAAGTGACATTAAATGCGAGTACTCGACTCAATGTAATTGCCTAGACTTGATTGAATGTTACACTAAAAGGTTTACATTCTAGTGTTTGTATGTAATTAGAATGGCCGCAGAAGTTGCAAGGACTTGTGAAAACGCAGGTTAGATTTGCCTAAACTGATAGCAATTGGTTGGGCAATCGTCAGAATGCGCTGACTGACTGTTTTAGGTTAAGTGTTGGTAATTCTGTAAACAACTCGAAGTGTTTTGATGGCATCTCTGTGACAGTCAATGTCGTCGAGACGTACTACGATTGGGTTGGTATTTAATCTTCGGTGACCAGCTCAGATCCACGTTAGATGATGTTCCTTGTTCATTCCTGAAAAGCGCTTAACGGCAATCATACTAAGTTGGTTAATATTGCGACTGGACGTGAGAAGCAATATGCCAGTCCACGATCAACCAATACTCGTGTATCCGTTTTTGTGTTTCCGTCATTCATCAGAATACGTTGATCATACAAATGAAATTTATAAAAATTGTGATCGCGTGTGTTTATTAAAGTATGTTTGATACTGTACTTTGTTACTCAGAACAATCTGTATCAACAGCAAAATCGATAACTCATGTAGCTTGGTATACCTTTTGCGTGTGTCAACTTGGTTGACTGCTTTTCACACCACGTTGAATTGTGGAGCAGAGAGGGAGAGAGAGGCGAGTGTGATCTGACAATAAGGATTAGCAGTCACTGAGAGGCAGTTACTAAAAACAAGTCATGACGCATAGCATCATCATCATAGACAGCAATACATCAGTGGTTCACACCGATACTTAACTGCAACATAATCACGAGGAAGAAAAAGCAAACCTTGTACAAGAAGAAAAAAGGAAGGGGAAGGGACCTAACCATTAGAAATAACTACGTCTATATTCAAACATACAACATCAAGGCGCCTACACCTTCCGAACAAACAACCTAGCTGTAGGTGAAAGTGAGGCGTCAACAGCAAGTGTAACATGCACGCCGGCTGTTTACACGTTGACTGTCCGGCACGCCTGCGG